CGATCGCAGGACCGCCGACACCATCGGGGCCACCAGCTCCGCCTACGCCGATCGAGGTCCCAGCGCCCGCTTCACGGGATCTCAAGCCAGACGCGAAGCAGGAGCCCCTCACCCCGACGGAGCCTGTGCCGCAGGCCGTGGCCGCCCGGCAGGATCCGCTTCTCCTGGAGACCGCCAGGTGCCGATGGTCCTGTCAGGAAGGAATCGCCCTCGTTTGGCGATTCCCCCCACGCGGAGGGAGCACAGGGCAGGCGAGGCGGCCCGTGTCGGGGCCGATCGCAGCTAGGGGAAGCCACGCGGGGCGAGATGGTTGTGCTTGAGTTCTCTGCGCACGAGCCGCTGACAGCTGCAGCGTGCGTGCCAGGGAGGCAGCCGGCTGTTTCGCATGACTGTCTTGTGAATCTGTTTCCTGTGCATGCCGAGAGGGGGCCACGGGCACCCAGCCTACGTATCGGCCCGCCTCCTGGGCCCAGTCTGTCACAGCCGAAAGGGCCCTCGGGGAGTTGCGCTCCCGGCAGCCCTGTGTTTGGCCCCGGGGCCGCGGCCATCGGAGCAGAGGGCCCTGTCAACGCGTCGTCTAGCCTTTGCCGCGACCCTGACGCACCAAGCCCACCAGGGTTCCGCAGAGCGGCGGGGTCCACCGTTTTTGGTACTTGTGTGGTGCCCTTAGCGCGAATGAGAGGGGCGAGGGCTGGAGCAGGAGAACGCGACCAGACTCTGCCAAGAGGCCCCGACCTGAGCATTGCGGTGTGTGCGAGGCCAGCTTCCCAGCCCCTGGTTTCAGGCGTGGCGTTGGCCAGTCTTGGGGACAGCAGGGATCAAGCTCACGCGCCTGCTTGGGACCAGCAGGGCGACTCTCTGTGCACGGTTCCCCGTTTCTTGGGCCCTTGGGGCCACGGGACCTCGGGAGGCCCACTTGTCAGCGCCAGCAAACCCGTGTACCGACCGTGTCTGAAGAGTGGTGCCGGCCCCGCGGGACCATCAGGGGACAGGGACCACCACCAGTTTGTTCCGTTGGCTTGCTCTGGGCGCGATGGTGCTAAGCCGCATGCTTCAGCAGTATACGGCCCTCTTGTGCCACCCTGCCTTGGCTTCCCGCACGTTGCGACAGGTCAGGATGAGGGGAAGTCGGCTGCAGGTAAGTATGGCTCTGCAGCGAGCTCCGACGTGCCAGCTGTCTCGTCTGAAGGTCTTGGCGGCGGCAGCGGCGCGGACCTGGCATGGTGCCCCGCGCCCAGCTTACCGAACCCGACAGCATCGCGACAAGTGGGGAAGGCCATAGCGGGGACCGCTGGTGTGCCGACCAGGGAAGTGACAGATAGGGGGATGTCGATTGAGACGGGGGGGATCATGCTCAGTAAGTATTTCGCACCGCCACTGTCGCATAGCTCTGCAACCCCAGCAGCGCCTCTCCTCCAGGGACACGCCGTCATTCCAGCCGAGCTGCCCGTCGCGTTGAGTCCAGATAGCGCCATCCACACAGCTGGCCCTGTGATGGCAGGGGAGGGTGGGTGCGATAAGGAGGCGCCGTCATGTCCAGGGTGCATTGCGAGAAACTCGGCATCGCTCGGACGTGTGCAATCTTCCTTCGGCGAGGACCATCGAGGAGCATCCTGGATCATTTGGCGGAAAAACCACGCACGAAACCGAAAAAAGCACACGGAATGGACGTCCGAGCGATGGCGAGGAAATGCGGGGGAGCAGTCTCTCCAGGTTCGGGAGCCCTGCAGCGTGCCGGGGTGGGCGTGGCGAGGGCGCCAGCGCGGGCCCCCAGATTTCGGCAGACCCGCTCTCACTCTGCGTGCTGCCGTAAGGGCGTGCCAGCCAGAGGCTGTGAGCGCCTGTAAGTTCGGGAGGAGGAGGAGGAGGAGGAGGAGGAGGAGGAGGAGGAGGAGGAGGAGGAGGAGGAGGAGGAGGAGGGAGGAGACGGGGGAGGAGACGGGGCAGGGAGGAGGAGAGAGGAGGAGACGGGGGAGGGAGGAGGAGAGAGGATGAGGGAGTGCAAAGGGGGGTCGGCCCGAGCGCCCGATGCTGCCTGATCCTGCAGGGCCAGGGTCGCACTGACTCGGGCTTGGGCGCAGGATCCGACCCTTCGCGTTGACCCGGCTCTGGGCGCCGGATCTTGCAGGACATTTTGCAGAATTCTGCGGGGCCTGATTGACCCGGGCCTGAATTGAACCATGGCAGAAGATCCCCGCCACATGCTCTGTAGACGTTCTTGCCCCGCTCCTCAAGTCTGCACTCGAGGATGGCCGCGTCCGCCACGTGAGCGCTATCTCGGGGCCAGCCGCGGCGGGGACTCCGCCCACCTGTGGGGCGGCATGACGCGCGTCTGCCCAGATCGGGCGGGAGGGCGGCGGAAGCGCTGGACCGCAGTGTCGAGGCGCAGACACGTCCCCAGACCCAGGCAGTCAGTTGGATCGAGCTGCGTGAAGGTTGGAGTGCGGCTTCTTCTGCGGATGGGCAGTCCTGGGCGACGGTCTCGGGACCGAGTCCTGCTTTGCGCACGTCGCCGCACATGACAAACTTGTTTCCTTATCATCGACGGCTTCAGACGAGGAAGGCCCCCGGGGTCGCTATGAGTTCGTCGTGGTTTCATGGCAGGAACTGAATGTTTCACGCGCCCGGTCGGGCCAGCGGCAGTGCGAAATCAAGAGTGAAGCATACTCTTCTGAGCCCTGCCGCTTTCTTGCAGCCGCTTTTCTGGAGGACTGCTCACCTGGTGTCCAAGAGGGGCTCCCAGGGTTCGAGCTTCTGTAGGCAGGTACAGGACACTACGTGTCTCTGGACCCTTACGTGGAGCCCAACCAGCTCGACACCACCAGCAGACCTTTCAGCATCGAGCGGGGGGCAAAACAGGCGGGGCCGCTGAATCTATCACTTGTCAAATTTGTCCTCGAGTCCTTTGTGTTCCGACAGGTGAAACCTGCATGGCGACGCGAGAGTTTTGGCATCCGGCTCGGCTTCGCCGACGATGTCTTGCTCTGTGCCCAGGACAGTCGGCAGCTCTCCTGCCGACCCCACGATGTACAACGTTAAGCAACAACAGGTGGTCTGACGTTGCACCCAGACAAGACCGACATTTTGACGAACGTCAGCCGGAGGGAGGAAAGAGCAGTTACCCATGTTGACACCACTGGCGACATCGTCGAAATATAACGTTCCGACCAGAGCTATTCGGCAAGGTAGCTTATTTTGGACGGTTTCCACGACGCAGAACTGCGCAATAGGACTGCTGCAGGATGGGGCGATTCAATGAAGTGCGCTACGAGATGATACACCAGCGCTTCTCAGTCCACAAACGTTTGAAATTCTGCAACGGTACAACATTTGCATCGGTGATGTACGGATGCTCCTTGTGGACCCTCGCCAAAGAGATGCTTCTCACTTAGCGACGTGCTCAGCGGAGAATGCCTCGGCGTCACAATCTGCAGAACTGTACCCGCAAGCGACACGACAGATAACCAGATAGAAGAGGATGCGTTAGAACCATGGCAAGACGTCATACGAAACTCGACGCACACAGCCCTGGAACATGCACGGCGTGCGGGCGTGGAGGACTGGAGCACGACATACTTCAAGCGAAAATGGCGGTGGACATCGCGTCCCGCAACCCACGGATATGACAGGTGGACGCGGCTCTCTTCAGACCGGGCTCGCGACGCCCACGACGCTCGCCCAGCCCAACGACGCCACGAAGGGTAACAGAAGAAATGGGGTGATGAGATCTTCCAGTTTCTGCGGATGGTAAATGAGAGCGGCGGTGATGCCGACGACAGAAGATGATACGTACGGCGACGGACAACAAACTATAGGTGGCATGGGAGCCTACTTTTTGGCACACGTCGGCGTTGGGGAATGTGCATACAACAGGCGGGAACAGCTGTAAGCCAGAGTGACTTCGACACGTGCCCCTTTCCCGACTCCAGATCCTGCTCTTGTTTATTTCGACGCCCGCCCCCATCGTTTTTCTCTCCAACTCCGGCTCCCATCTCCAACTACTGTTCCCACGTCTTCCTGCAACTCCGGCGCCCTTCGATTCCTATCCTTGTGCGCCTACCCTCGTGCGACAGGCCAGCGCCTCGCCTCGCCTCGCCTCCCCTGCCGTTTGATGCGAGACTCTGTTGGTTTAGCCTCCGCCTCTTCCTCATCCGTCTGTCTGCCCCTGGTCGGCCCATGGTGGCCGAGTAGGGTGGGACACAGACGTGTCCGCCCTCAGTCACTGCACTGCAGCGGCAGGGGGGAGGAGCAGCACTCAGACGCAGGGCACGGGGGGCAAGGGGGGGGAGCAGGGAGACGGGGGGGGGGGGGCGGGGGGGGGGAGGGGTACAGGAGCGGCACCAAGAGCCGCGGCAGGAGCAGGACGAGGGAAGAGCAGGAAGACGACGACGGCAGGCCAGCAGATCGACCGACCGTCCGACCGATGCCCATCCCGAGCGTGTCCTCGGAGGCCGCTGGGCGGGCTCCACGGACAAGGCTGGGTCGCCTGGACCCGAGGCCACCCGAGCCCGCACCGAGGGCCCCCCGGCTCGACATCGAGGCGCCCCGACGCCCGTCGAACAATCACCTTGCTTGAGCCGCACCTCCGCGCCGTTCCGGACGGCACCTTTTGCACGAGGCCCTTCCGGCGTGGCCGCGATGTCCACCGCCCTTTGCGTTGGAGCGACGCCGCCATCGCAACCACACACCGTGGCCTTTCGGCGCGGCCACCGCCATCGCAGCCGCGCCTTCGCCGGTTTTTTTTCGTCCCGGGTGGCACTCTCGGACGCCGCTCGGCCGAGGCGCGCGCCTCCCCCATGCCAGGCGATGCGGGCGATCGACGACCGCCGACGACCGCCGACGACCTCCGACGACCACCGACGACCACCACCGACGACCACCGACGCCGACGACCGCCGAGTTGGGCGACAGGTATTTCACCGTTTCTGAAGCTCGACAGCCGACGACGCTGACGACCTACGACCGACGACCGCCGACGACGCCGACGCCGACGGCGCCGGCGGCGCTGGCGGTCTTCCGGCAGGCTGCCGCTCTGGAGGCCTCCGACAGGGGCCGATATGTGGTGCTGCGCGTCGGCAGCGAGGCGGACCGCTACGCCCAGGAGACCTCCGCGGTCGTTGTCGACGGCGGCGTCTTTGTTTTTCGTTGGTCGTTGGTCGTCGTCGGCTGTCGTCTATCGTCAGTGGTTCGTCTGCCGTCATCGTCCGTTGTTCGTGGGTCGACTGTCGTCCCCAGTCGGTTGTCGTCGTCGTCCGTCTTCGGTCGTCGTAGTCGTCGTCGTCGTCGTCGTCCGTCTTTGGTCGTCGTAGGCCGTCGTCGTCCGTCCTTTTCAGTCGTCGTCGCCGCCGTCATCCGTCGTCGTCGTCGTCGCCGCCGCCGCGGTGGTCGTCATGTCATGGGTCGTCGTCGTCGCGCACTCGAAGACTTCGCGTGGAGACTGCGCGCGCCCCCTCCGCCCCTCCCTCCCTCGACCTCTACCTTCGCAGGCCCTCCGCGCTGCGGCAGCTGCCGCGCGGCACCCGCCGCGCAGAAGATGGAGGTCGGCACACTGGTTTTATCGAAGACGCCTCCGGCGGGTTCCCGCTGCCCCGTGTGGCCGAAAAGCGGTCCCCCCAGGTGCCTTTTAATCGGCATCTTGACGACTCTCTGGGCCTCGTGGAGGGTCTTGGGGCCCCTGTGGCTTCCTCGGCAGCCTCCCTCGTGGGCCGCCTCGGGGCTAACTTGGAACCCTCTTGGCCTTTTCTTGGTGCCCTCTTTGGGGGGCACTCTTGGGCCGCCTTGGGGCTCTCCTGAGGCTGCCTTGGTGACTTCCCGGTCTCTTGTGGGCTTCTTGGGGCCCTCGTGGCCATCTTGGGGCCCTCTCGGGCCGTCCTCCCCCCCTAAAACGACACGAAGATCGGGACAAAATCGGATCGGGATAACTCGAAATCTCTGAGAATCGGCGGGTTTGGAGGATGTATTGGGCGCCGCGGCAGCTCTCAGAGCGTTCCGGAACGCTCTGAGAGCGCTCCGGAACGCTCTGGAGCGATGTATCCCGATCCTAGCCCTGTTTTACCCCCGCCCCCCGGGAGGCCCTCAGGGGCCGTCCTGGCCAAGACGGCGTGAGATGCCCCCCCAGGGCGGCCCCAGGACGGGCCCCCCCGTGAGGCCGTCCTGGGCGGTGCCGGGAGCAGGAGCTCCCAGCCTCGCTCCCAGCGCCTCCAGAAGAGGCACGCGGCGAGCCTCCTCCTCCTCCCCTTCCTCCTCCTCCTCCTCCTCCTCCTCCTCCTCCTCCTCCTCCTCCTCGTCCTCCTCCTCCTCCTCCTCCCCTCCTCCTCCCTCCTCCTCCTCCTCCTATTCCTCCTCCTCCTCCTCCTCCTCCTCCTCCTCCTCCTCCTCCTCCTCTTCCTCGTCGTCATTTTCCTCCGTAGCCATTTTGGCTCAAGATGCTTGGTTCCTCAGGGGAACACGTGGATACCGCTAGTCCGCGGCAGGCAAGGCTGTCCAGCCTGCCAGTTCTCTAGCATCGACCTCCTGCTGCCCAGCACTCGCACGGGCAGCACCTCAGCGGCTAGCGTTTGTTGTAGTGGCCTCTGGCCGATGTCCCCGATCCGGGCGCTTTTGATGCTATTGTTGGGATGGTCACAACAGACGACCAACGGTCGACGAGTGGGATCATTACGACGACGATCGACGAACGGTTTAACGACGACCGTTGACGACGACGACGACGACGACGACGACGACGACGACGACGACGACGACAACGATTCTGGGCCTCCTGGGTCCTGCTAGGGGCCTCTTGGAGGCCTCTTGGGACCTCTTGGGACTCTCTTGGGGCCTCTTGGGTGCCTCTGGAGGCAGAGGGCATGACATTTCCGTTCGGGTTCCCCGTCGGGTTCCCCTCTTGGAGCCGTCTTGAGAGCCTCTGGGGCCGTCTTGGGGGTTTCTTGGGCAGTCATCGGGCTCTCTTGGGCCGTCTTGGGGCCAGTTTGGGAGGCTCTTGGGCTAGCATTTGTTTTGCCATACTTGCCATGGTTGACGGTGTGCCCGATCGTCACATGCTGAAAAGGCAGTGCTGGTCGCTGTGGCTCTCGGCCATCCTCCTCCTGCAGCTCCGCCAGACGCAGCACCTCTCGCAGTGAGCAGCGTCGTCGTGAGGCCCATCGGCGGAGGCAGCGCCAGCAGGACCGCGCCGAAGGGGGACGCGACCCCCGACGGCCTCGTCGCCCGCCTGCCGCGGAGCGCCGCCGTGCTGGGACGACAGGCAACTGCGACAGCGGAGCGCCCAGCGGGCCACCCCGCTTCACAGCGAATCAGCTGGCCGCAACAGCAGCAGACCTGGAGATCATGCCCACCTGCCCGCCCTCGAAGTTGGGGTATGGTGACGACGCAGCCTTGGGCGCCCAGCCGCCGCCCGACGCCTGGGCTGCCAAGGCAGCGTGGCGCCTCAGCCTTGGGTGCACTGCAGGCGGCGGTGCGGCGGGCATCGGCCCCCAGGACATGGCCACTTGCACAGCAACATGTAGCGCCGTCTCGGCACACAACTTCAGCAGAATATTCAGAACCTCTCGGCCATCGCCCAGCAGTCGTAGCTGGAGTTCGCGCAGGTGGTCGACGCGCGCTTCGCGAAGGTGGACGGCCGGCTCGGAAGCATGGAAGAGCGCATGCGGGATTTTGCCAAGTTGCGCCAAGAGATGGACGACGTCCGCGCCGAGATGGGCGCTGTGGCATCTGCGACGCCGCGGGGATTGTCGAACGTCACGGGCTGGGCCCGCGCCGTCGACGCCACCAGCCTGGCGACCGCGGCGAGGGCCAAAGTGCCGAAGCAGGCGGCGGCGGACGCCGCGCGACCACTCCTGGAGGGCGCAGAGCTGCCCCCCCTCGCGCCCGAGGCAACCGCGCTGGAGGGAGAAGAGATGGGCAGGCACTTGGAGCCGCACTGCCTTGGTTCCACGGGGCTGGCGGAGCGGCTGAGCGCCGGGCTCTTGGGCCTTCTGCGCATTGGGCCCTCCTCCTGGCGCGAGTTCTCGGCCGCTCCCGAATGGCGGACGGGCGCGCGTCAATGTCGGGAAGGGCATCGACTGCGGCCAGATCCCCCGCGACATCCAGCTCAAGAAGCCGCGCAATACCCTGCAGGGACACATCCAGCAGCGCCTCCTTATGGACAAGGACTCGAATGCGATTGCAGTCAAGTGGCGGCAGCTGGCCAAGCCGTCGATCTCGGCCCCAGCCCGAGGTCTCGCGAAACATGGTGGCAGCGCGAGCCATCTACCAGAAAGGAGGCGCCGCCGGCCCTGGCGGACCGCGCCCTAGAGCCAGAAGCCTAGCAGTGGACTCTTTGACAGGCGATCTCGCGCCTGGTGGGGCGACGGGAACGGCCTGCACCATGGCACCACCTGGAACTGCAGAGCCCCGAAGCAGTCGGGCAAGGGCGCCAACCGCGCGATCGCTGAGAAGCTCAAGTGCACCCATCGCTATTGGAAGGGTGCAACGCTGCTGGGTCCCCAGGAGACCCCCGCCTCTGATGCTGGCATGGAGGTGCGGTTGGAGAGACTGAGGGAACCATTTCAATGCTCTGCCTCGCGCCTGGCACCAGGTCGAGGAGGCGGGAGGCGCGGCGACTGCAGCGCCTGCTGCAGCTGACGGCTACGCCTGCCATTTTGAACCTGAGGAACTTGCCCCTGGACGCGTTCTTCGATTACTTTATGCCGTTCAATCCTTGTCGCCTGGGGCGGCGCCGGCTAGTTTTTTCCCCTGGAATGCACGCGGGCGCGATCTTGTACCTGATCAACGTCGACGGGTCGCTGCGCGCCAACGCCTCGACCTCGAGCGGACTCGCCGCGAGCCTGCGGCGCGCTCTTTCTTCTTCGTCGGCGACGTCAAGTTTGGCGACTGCGTCGAGATCGACCCCTTCATGCAGGTCGGCCGGAACCCGATGCAGCAGGGGCCCCGCCTCTGGCGACCACCCAGCGCGGAGCGAGCTCCATGTCCGCGGCATCAGCGACCACTCCACGGCGGTGGCCTCGCTGCTTCGCCGCCAGCGTCCGATGCGGGACGCGGACATGCCCGCGGCCATCCCGCGCGATGTGGTCATGCGTCCACACTTCATGGAGATCGCGGATGGCCACTTGGGGCAGGTGATGCCGGCGCATCAGGCCCCTCCCGACGAGTGCAAGTGCTTCGCGAGGATCCTGCAGGCAGCCGCCATCGATGTCCAGCAGGAGCCGCTCATGGCTGAGGGCTGGGTCAAGGGCGCCACGGCCATCATCTGGCGCCAGCTGGCCTGCGCCTATTGGGGGCAGAACTAGGTGCTCGCGCTGCTGGCGGCCTCCCGGAATGCCTGGGCGCGCGAGCTGGCGAAGGTCGACACCCCCTCGGAGGCCGCGGCGATGCTCGACTTCGCGGAGTTCCAGAGGAGGTGCAAAATTGCCCAGACGACGGAGGCGGCTAGCCAGCGGCGCACGCTGGGGACTGCCGCCGAGCAGAAGCCCGCGGAGAATCGGCGGACGCAGTTGGTCGCGCAGCGTCGCGCGGCTCCGTCGCCGCGCGCGACTCTGAGCGCCGCTCAACACCAGGCGATGTCTGGCGGCACCGGGGGCGAAGGCCGCGAGCTCACGGAGACCGTCGCCATCAACCGCGCGTTGAGCCAGCAGGGGGGCCAGGTCTGCATTCCCGCGACCCCGTCCAACGTCGGCGCGCGCGGACATGCCTCGTGCCCTTCGGCGTCCCGTCGCTAGACTGCGACGAGTTCCCCGCGCCCCGGCTGGCGGGCCGCCGCGCCCGGCCTGCGGCCCCAGGCCCTGGCGCCCTCCCCGCGGCAGCCTGGGCAGCAGTGAGCGGCGGCACCCCTGTCCTCCATCGGTCCATGCAGTGGATGTTCGAGGGTCTGCTCATGCGGTCTGATCGCAATCTAGCCACTGGCATCTTTCTCCCCAGAGGATCGGCGGAGGCTGACCTAACTGTCGCCTCGCGGGCCCTGGGCAACGCGCGCCGCCTGTCGCTGCGCAGCGCCAGCGTTGAAGCAGTCTACTCGGCCCTGGACTGGCCGCTTAAACGCGCCGCGCAAAAGGGGGGGGTCATCGACATGTTGCATGGGGAATCTCATTGAGCTCGACAGCTTTGTCAGACTAGCCAGCGCGCAAGCCATGGCCCCCCCCTGCCCCTGCCATTGCCCGCCCCCCCCTCCTCGCCCACGACTGCGCCCGCGCCCCCCCCTCGCCGGCCCGCGCCTGGGTCTCAGGGGCCGGGGCGCCCCCGAGGCCTTGATGGCAGCGGCCCAAGCGACTTGCATTGCGCGGCTGCCACTCTCAACGCTGACGGCGATCGCTCACTCTCGCCGCGGATCAAAGCGGCGCCCTCCAAGGGGGCCCCCTCTCAGATAGCCTCTCCGCTCATGCTGCGCACCCGATCTGCAAAGACATGGCGCGGACTCTGGACGCCGCCGGCAAGGGGGTCGGGAGGTGGCGCGCGGACGACGTAGGAGCGGCGACGCGGGGAGGGCTAGGTCTGCGCGTCCTCGCGCGCATCCTCGGGATCCCGAAAAACTAGCTGGCCGCGGGCTGAAGCCTCGAGAATGCTTCGCCACCCCGCGCCGGGCCCCGCAGTCGAAGAGTTGGAGGTCCAACCTGCCGAGCTTCTCGAGTCGACGAGTCCTGGGTAGGGGGGTTGTCGCGCCGGTCCGTCGCCGGAGCACCTGGGGCGCAAAGTGGGCCTCGGGGCCGAAAACTCGAAGCAGCGGGCTGTCTCGTCGGCCAAGCTGGGGGCCAGCCAGGGCGCTCGCGATTTCTCGCTCGCCTGCGGACGTGCGCGCCGCGGTTGCACTATATCGCGAACGGGCGATCAGCGCCTTCTCGCATAAATCCCATGTGCGTCCGATTCGCAAGCAGCTGCGCCGCAGAGAGAAAGACATTTAAACCGAGGGGGCCGAGCTCAGAGCGTCGCGGGAACGCTCGATGCCGCAAAGGGTTGAACGATCCGGCGCCCTGCAAACCCAGCGCGGAGCAGACCGCCACCGGAGCGCGCCGGAACAGCTCCGCCGGAACATTGTGGCGACACGTCCTGCTGCTGGGGGCCCTCGTTCCCAGGACGCAGCGTGCTCTCGTCCGTGGCGCCCCCCCCGTCCTGTATAGGTTCCCCGACCCCCTCGTCCCCTGCCTTCGTAAACGCCCCGCCGCGTGGTTTGAGATCGACACCGCCGCCTCGTGCAGGTTCCAGCCAGTGGCGGGAGGTGCGTCCCGTCTTGGAGTCGGCCCCTCCCAGATGGCGCCTGACGGCGATCCGCGCCTGGACAGGAGATTGGGTCATTGACGCAAGTTCAGGCAACGTCGTCCGAGGCTGCTTGCTCGGCTGTCAGTGCCGAGATAGCATCGCCCATTACGTATATTCACTGCCCACACTGTCACTGGAATGCTGCAGGGGTCTCTGGCTCATCTCTTCCTGGTCCCGCCCCCTCCTTCTGAGCCTCTCCTGCCTCGTCTGGCTCTCAGTCCTTGCGCCCTATCTCGTATTCGT